ATGGCACGCATCTATCCATGCCATGCTTGGCAGCCGCTGGGGCAGAGTGTGGGAGCATGTGGGAGCATGTGGGAGAATGTGGGAAGCATAGGAGAATGTGGAGAGCATGTGGGAGAATGTGGGGAGCACGTGCTGGGAGAATATGGGGAGCATGTGGGAGAATGTGGAGAGCACGGCAGGGAGAATGTGGGGAGCATGTGGGAGCATCAGAAAGGAGAAATAAAAGCTGTCCCACATTCGCTGTGAAGAACGTCCTGTACGACCGCTGTAACTCCCTCCCTGAAACAAGGCTACGGCGCAGCCCCCATGACGCGGCTGGCCTAGCCCGCCATAGAGCGACGGTGGCGCCGTAGCATGAAGAGAAAGAAGAAGAACGAGTAGTGGCAGCGGAAGAGCTAAGCTAGAAGTAGAAGGCGTGATCCGAGATGGCAAGAATATAGAATAGAATAGAAGATGATAAGATGATACAACAAGAACCAGAGATGGTTATTTATGCTAGGAGAAGAGAAACGCGACTCGGATAGGAAAACCGTGTCGCTACGTCTTTGGCATAGCATCTTGGCATATCGCCTCGATGCTATGCCCTGCTGGACTGTATGGTATGACGGGGATAGGAGGGACTGCTCTATGCTAGCAAGTGTTGTGTTTGGAGCTAGCTAGGCAACACCGTCTTTCCCTTTCGGAAATTCCCACGCTCTCTGCGTGGTGAATTCCGAACCTGTTACACTCCCATAAAACGCTGTTGGACTGACGCTCTGTTATGGCTGTCAGACTATCACTCCCTCACATAAAACACTCATAGTAGATGTCAGCTATCGGTGCATGGGTTTACCTTTTCATTTGCTGACCCACGATGCGCTTGTGAGAAGTCTTTTTCCATTTGAACCCCTCATGATGGGGCACTTGCGGTTGATCGGCCGTCGCGTGTTGGAGCTGGTTGCGGGCCATCGTGCGATTTTGGTTCAGGCCCATAATGATCGGCGGTGGAGGCGTCAACTCTACGTCAGCACCATCATTTTCATGCACGGCGATTCCTGAGCTGGATCCGCCGGCAGCCGAAGCCCAAGTGGCAGCAGTACTACTGCCGGTAGTAATCGGTTGGGCCCATTCTGCCGGAGAATAGATCACAGCATGCTCGTGTTGCTGCTGCACTTGCTTCTCGGGACTAGTAGGTCTAATTTGGATGATCCTGTTCGGCGAGTCGGAAATTGAGCTAGCGGTTTTCATGGCGGGGCGTACGACAAAATGTGGCACATTTAGACGAGGAGGAGTTCAAATACCAGGATCGGTTTCCATCGATTGAAGGGAGAGTATTTGAAGGAATGGAGCGCACGGGCATTCATCCGATGATATCGATGACGAGGAGTCTGCACGCGGACTCGGATCACAATCAACCTTGAGTCAAAACTGCAAAGTCCCTCGATCTGCAATGCGGCGCTTAAGGTGTTAACGGCCTATTTCAACGCGCTTTCACCGCGTTATTGGGGTGCTGAAATCCTGTTGGGTGACTCGTTGGAGGGTTCCGGTCTGGCAAAGCTTGGCTGGCTGGCTGTGATGGAGTTTGGGATGTTGGGGGGAAGGGGGGTGGAAGAGATGGGTGTATGGAAGGACGGGGGGAGAAGAGGGTTGTGGAGGGGGGGAGGGAAATGCTCTCCACAAATCAGCCAACGATGCAATTCGCGCATAATTTGAAATCGGGTGGCTGCATCTTGGTGCCGTGCGGGGCCAGCAAAGGATCCGGGGGGCAAGGGGGAAGGAGGGGGGGATGGAGCTGGAGGACGTGCACACAGTTCCAATGCATGTTGTGGAATGGCTTGCATGGCATGGCTGATCATGATTCCTTCCAAGATTTACGGAACAAGGGTGCTTTCAACGGGTTATTGGGGTGCTGAAACGCTGTCAAGCAACTAGTTGAAGAGTTCGAGGCTAGCAAAGCTTGGCTGGCTGGCTGTGATGGAGTTTTGGATGTTGGGGGAAGGGGGGTGGAAGAGATGGGTGTATGGAAGGACGGGGGGAGAAGAGGGTTGTGGAGGGGGGGAGGGAAATGCTCTCCACAAATCAGCCAACGATGCAATTCGTGTATAATTTGAAATCGGGTCGCTGCATCTTGGTGCCGTGCAGAGTCAGCAAAGGATCTGGGGGGAAAGGGGGAAGGAGGGGAGAGATGGAGCTGGAGGACGTGCACACAGTTCCAATGCATGTTGTGGAATGGCTGGCATGGCATGGCTGATCATGATTCGTTTCAAGATTTACGGAACAATGGTGTCTCATTACATTCATCCTCCAGAAAGTATGATTTTCACATTAACTTCTCATCGCTCAAAACAAGGAGCGCCCTTACAATTTCAGAAACAAGCAAAATTGCAGCACTGCTTATTTTGAGCTTGTTAAGTTAAACCCGTGTGAACTCAGTCACGACTGCCGATGTCTTTTCACATTCCTTGTAATGTTTAGGGCACTAAAACCTGCGGGCCAAGAAGTTCAACCGTAGGAAGGTTGGTTGGGGTGGGCAATGCAATTGGCCAAGATTTTGGGTGTCAGGGCCAAACTCAACCGAAGTTAGGAGGGTTGAACCGTTTGAAATTCTTTTCAATTTTCAACTCGCCAGGTTCGAAAAATTCTGTCATTGAATCCCCTACAATTTCGGTGTATTGCCGAGTTCTGCCAGCCCAGCGAGGCGTGTGGACACGAGGGTAGGCGGATTACGGTGGACAGCAAATTTGCTGCACTGCCCAATTCGAGTTGCCGAATGTCGTGTCACAGAAACTCTGAAGGTTTTGAACAGACGGAGAATTCCCTGGTTTCCGCAAAGAGCTGAAAGAAATTAAAACGAAACTGCAACCCCATAGGTTGCCTCTCGGATCGCCTTCCCCCACGGACCCGCTTTCCGCCCCTGTCCTTGGTTAGGTAACGTAAACTTTGTAGTTGCGGATTCGAATAGGGAACGAGGAATCCTGCAACTCTCAAGTTTGCCTATTTGCGCAGTACAAACGCAGGGGAAATAGGGTCAGACCTCTACGCAATATGGGGCACATTGACATGTTTCGGTAAAGACAACATAGGATATTCGGATGCTTGTGTTGGGTGGTGGGCGAGTGGTGATACAAATGTTTCCTGATTAAGGCACGTGACATTCCATGATTCTTTGATACTGATATTGACATTGTTAATGCTCGTCCTTCTGAACCCTCACGGGCTGAATTTGGCTATTTTGAAATCAACATCAAGCTTGCGACATTCGCCGACGAGAATTGCCCTCGTCGAGTCATACTTTCAGGTGAGGGCGGTGACTCTGGGAAGCAGCGTCACTTCGACAGAATTCGAATTTTGTAGGTAATCATGTGCACTCATGCCAATCAACAATTCCACTTCTCTCCACCAAAATGTGAAACTCGTTCCGACTAGCTTTGAAGGGACAATGACACATTTCGTAATCTTTGAACGGCTCATAAAGCATGGGCCGAATGTAGGTACTATGTGTAGACGATTGTCTAGAAGATAGCATCTGTACAGAACTGGACAAAACCTCGAGGCTGGGAAGGGTTGTGGAGAAGCTACGGTTAAAGTAGACACTGTGCACCGCTGTCGTGACCATCAGAAGTTGAATAAAGACACCACCACGCCAGGCTAAACGTTGACTGAGAGAGGTCAACGGTCAGAAGTGTAAAAACATTACAGACATACCATCAGCAAGTTTCAATCATCCCCTTACGCACAAGGCTACCATAATATGTACTGCGATGCCTACCACTGGGGCAAAGATTTTCCAGCGGCTTCATTACACTGTTATGCCAACCACACTAGGTTAGTCGCCACCACTGTATTGCCACGGTGTCGAGTCGAGTGTAGCGTTGGCAGAAGGTCAGGGCAGCACTGAAACAAATACAGCCGACGAGACGTGAATTGACGGGATGTCATTTATTACTGAAATCAACAGCTGACAAGTGCAGGTTTGATGTCGAACTTCCGACAACTGTGGTTTGCGACTGTTGCTTGGAAATTACTACGCGGCGCATAGTAATTTCCAGCATTACAACAATTCGATAAAGGAAAGGCCTAACTACACCCCCTGACACAGCAATACCTTCCTGGTAATTCAACGAAAGTAGGAAGATCTTGCACCACGACATGGTTGTTCTAGAAAAGGTACCATGTAATTGTAATAGCTATATTACAAGAAGATGCGCATTCTGTGCAGTGAATGTGTTCCATAGGGGTAATTGCAACACACCAGTGATTACACACGGCGATCACAGCCACCACACCACAGCATATGGATTAGCAGCCATATCATTGCCCAGACAAAACTGTAGCATCATAAAAGGACGTGTGGAGGTATGGAGGAGCCAAGGAAGTGCGACTTGGCTGCCTTGACTCCCTTGTGGCAACCAGCATACTCCCAATCGACACAGGCCAGTGGGAGCAGGAGAGTGAGAGTGAATGAAGGAGCAAGAGTGTGCGTGTGAGTGAGCGTGCAAGAGGGTGGGTAGGAGTGGCGGGATGACATGGCTGGTCACAGGGAAATGTGTGGAGGGGGGGAGGGTGCTGAGAGGTGCAGATTGGCAGACATGACAGCCATGCCAAGGAACATGGCCAGCACTGCCCTGTGATGGCTTGCCGAGGAACCTGGTCCAAATGCATTGAGATGCCAGGAACATGGCCAGCACTGCCCTGCTTGACTGGTGTGATGCCGTTCTTTAGAGCTCTCTCGGTAAAGCGCCGCCATGCAACGGCGGCCCCTGAACGCCTGGATTCTGAAGTGACCACAGTGAGATGGGTATGGCTGTGAACGGCAGAATGGCTTTTGAGGCGCCTCAAAAGTCATGAAATTGATATGGCTGTCAAAAGCCGAATGGCTGGTCACAGGGAAATGTCCGGTGGGAGGGAGAGTGCAAGGAGGTGCAGGTTGGCAGACATGACAGGCAATCGCAGGAACATGGCCAGCACTGCCCTGCGATGCCCCGTGGGATGGCGTTCTACTATTGTTCTCCATGCTTAAGTCACAAAGAGATGTCCGGTGGGAGGGAGAGTGCTAGGAGGTGCAGGTTGGCGGACATGACAGCCATGCCCAGGAACATGGCCTGCACTGCCCTGCGATGCCCCGCGTACTCAAAGGCCAGAGGCAGCATCTCGTGCAGCACTAGGAACGCCATGATGCCGCCCACTGCATGCACAGGGATGCAGGGGAATGATAAGGGGTGCAGATGGATGCATAGGGATGGAGAGGCATGGAGAAGGATGGAGAGGGACACACAGGGATGCACACGCCAGCACAGGCAGCACATGAAGAGTGAAAGGGGCAGCAGAAGCAACATGCCAGCGCAGAAAACAAAACGGGGAAAACCAGCACCGTGAGAGAGCAGAGCACGTGCTGCCAGCAAGAAGCCCCTCAATGATATCCGGGGCGAGGGAGGCCGGGAAGAAGAGGGCCACAAAGATAACCCCCAGCGGCTCTGCAGCCCCGGAAAGAGCCGCGGCTCGGAAGGCGGCCCAGCGGCTTCCCAAAAAGGGGGAGGAGAGAGTAGGGCACGTACCACCAGCAAGAAGTCCTTCAATGATATCAGGGGCGAGGGAAGCCAGGAAGAAGAGAGCGACGAAGATGACCCCCAGCGGTTCCGCAGCCCACGAGAGAGCCGCGGCTCGGAAGGCGGCCCAGCGGCTTCGCGTGCCGAAGTAGATGGGGAGGGCGACTGCAAGGCCTTCAGGGATGTTGTGCAGTGCTATGGCCACTGCTAGGGATGTTGTGCAGTGCTATGGCCACTGCTAGGCTCATTCCCACTCGCACACCCTGAAGGGAGGGTAGGAGGAAGGGAAGGGAAGGTTAGACATGCTGAGGCAGATGGGAGGGCGACTGCGAGGCCCTCTGGGATGTTGTGCAGCGCTATGGCCACCGCTAGGCTGATGCCCACCAGCACCCACTACCCACACCAGCACCCCCTACCTACACCAGCACCCCCTACCCACACCAGTACCCCCTACCCACACCAGTACCCCCTACCCACACCACTACCCCCTACCCACACCAGTACCCCCTACACACACCTCAGCACCTTTTTTCCCCATCAGTACCCCATAGATACACCAGTAAATCCTCTTTCCCCTCACCCACCCCCGTTCCCCCACCATCATGCACCAATAACACCTTTCCACTCCTCCTCACCTTCATGGTGCCCAGGAACACGGCGATGCCTTCGGGGAAGTTATGCAGGCTGATGCCCAGCGCCGTGATCACTCCACTCCACAGCACCGCTTGCCGCCGCCTCTGCATCTCCCGCTCCCCCACCTCTGCTTCCTTCTCATCTGCCACATCCTTTAATCTCCGTCTCTCCTCCCCTCCCCGTCCACCCCTCTGTCTCACCCCTCACCCACTAGAGAATCACCAGCATTCCCATCTCGGATATCCCACACGCTACTTTTGATCCCACAAAGCCAATGCTCCACATGAATGTCCCTGTAGCTGTCCGAGCCCAAGCCTCGGACCAGGTTCGGATGCTCCACCTGACCAGCTCTTGCCAAACCTGAGGCTTGGTTCGGGTCCGAGTCAGGGCTTTCCGAGCCTAAGGGTTGGGTCAGATCTAGGGAGGAGAGGGAGGAAGGGGGTAGAAGGAAGAGGAGGAGGAGGAGGCGGAGGGGGAATTGAGTCGAGCGAGTGTTTGTTTCCAGATGAGGGGAGGTGGTGAGTCTGGTGGTGGTGGTGTTAGTGTTGGTGCCAGTGCTGCTGGTGGTGGTGCTGGTGGTACTGCTGCTGTTGCTTCTGCTGGTGCTGTTGCAGCTGGTGCTACAGCTGATGGTTGAATAGGTTGATCTGTCCGTTGCCTCTCCGTGAATGGTTCGGACGTAGGTTGGGATGCAGGCTTGGACGTAGGTTCGGATACGGGACCGCATGCGTATTTCAATAGAGGTTCGGATGATGGCGCAGGATTTACAGATGGCTCGGGCGCGAGGGAAGGCTCGGGAACAAAGTGTACAACAGTTGCGAAGAGAAGCGCTCCTCCAAAGAACTGTTGAGGCACAAGGAGTAAGTGCGGGACAGCGGGGAAGAGAGAGAAGGATAGAGTGGGAGAGTGAAGCGGTGAAAGTGTGGGGGACAACTGGGAAGAGAAAGAGGAGAGAGTGTGGGAAAGGAGATATTGCCTGGCAAGGGAACGAGATAGGAGCTGTAGTAAAAGCGCCTTTTCATCCACAAAGCCCAGATTGAATGAGCACGCAGGGGAAGCCAATGATAGGTTGGAAGCGGGGAAGCCAATGATAGGTTGGAAGCGGGGAAGCCAATGATAGGTTGGAAGCGGGGAAGCCAATGATAGGTTGGAAGCGGGGAAGCCAATGATAGGTTGGAAGCGGGGAAGCCAATGATAGGTTGGAAGCGGGGAAGCCAATGATAGGTTCGAAGCGGGGAAGCCAATGATAGGTTGCAAGCTGGGAAGCCAATGATAGGTTGGAAGCGGGGAAGCCAATGATAGGTTGGAAGCGGGGAAGCCAATGATAGGTTGGAAGCGGGGAAGTAAATAGCCTCAGGCAAGAGATAAAAGAAGGTGACGTTCCGCACTGTTGAGTCAACTCAAGAGATGTTGTTAATAACTCACAAGAAGGGGAACCCACCCATAGGTGGGCAGCAGGAAAGCCGATGGTCTCAATGGCTTCAGGTACGAGATCAAAGAACATGAGGCTCAGCATGAGCAGCAACTTGAGTCGACTCAAGGGATGTTTCAATAATCAGCAAGCAATGAAGCTCACTCACTCACCCATAGGTTGGCAGCAGGAAAGCCGATGGTCTCGATTGCTTCGGGCACGAGATCAAAGAAGGCTCAGCATGAGCCCGCTGGCGAAGCCCTGGATAGCAGCGGAGGGAAAGTGGGGGCAAGTGGGTGTATGGGTGTGGGGGAGATGGAGGGGGAGGAAAGGGATGCGGGGTGGCTTAGCAAGAGGTAAAAAACCACGAGGCTCACCAAGAGCCCGCTGGCAAATTTTTGAATAGCAGCGAAGGGAGGTAAGGAAGAGGGAGGAGTGGGGAGGGTGGTTGGGGGAGGGGTAGGTACGGGTAGCGATGTTGAAATGGCCAGGGTGGCTTCAGGGACGAGGTCAAAGAGGAGGGGAGGGAGAGTGGGACGAAAAGGGGGAGCAGGGTAGGGTTAGGGGAGGGGGTGTTGAAGTGACCTGGGTGATTTCAAGCACGAGGTCAAATAACTTGAGTGTCCACGTGGGGTTAGGCGAGGTGAGGTGAGGCTGGGCGAGGTGGGGTGAGGTGCGGTGAGGGGAGGTGAGGTGGGGTGCAGAAGGGTATGGTGCAGAGTACCTGCAGGAGGCCTAGCCGCTTGATATCAGGCACAGCTTGAAGCACCACGAGAGCACCGCCTGGTGGGAAGAGGTGGGAAGAGGTGGGAAGAGGTGGGAAGAGGTGGAGGGAGGTGGGAGGAGATGGGAGGAGAGTGAAGGAGATAGGTGGGCATGGGATGCAAGGAGACGCCTAGGCATGCATGCCACGAGATGGGGAGACTGACAATCAAAGATGATGCATACGGAAACGAGAGGACCAAGACTGTTCATGCTCAGACTGGCAACTCAAGAGAGAGCGCGTGGGCGATGGCTACTTGACGCGACAGGGCGATGCGTCTTGATTCGAGTTGAATGTTTGGGGTGTCACGGAGAGTTCTCTCCAAGAACCCTGCTCAGGCTGCCTTCAAGAATGAGCGTATAATAGTGTGTTCTTGTTTGTAAATACGTGGCTCCCACCTGGGATTCGATTGGACTCACCAAGAGCCGTGCTGAGGCTGCCAATGAGAGTGAGAGCGAGTGCGATGCCGACTTGAGGCGACAGCCCGATGCCAAACCCCATTGATGGCAGGCCTGCTAGCACGGAAGTAAGGGTTGCCATAACTGATTCTGCTGCTGCTGCTGCTGCTGCTGCTTGTGGGGCTGCGGCTGCCAATGTGTCAGCTGCTGCTGCTGCGGCGGCTCCAGTCATGGCTGTACCAACTGTGTCTGCAGCCGTGTGTCCCACTTGTAACGCTTCCAGTTGTAACGCACCCAATTGGGATACTTCCAGTTGAATCGCTGCGAGAGCTGCCGCTGGAGCTGCTGCCGCTGCTGTGAGCGCTGCCGATGCCGCAAGCAGCAGTGTGCCTGCTGCTGACGTCACACGATCATATGCTACTGCTGTTGCTGCTGCAGTTGGTGCTGCTGCTTCTGCTGTTTGTGATGCTGGTGGTGGGGAATCTGCTGCTGCTGCAGATGTTCGCTTTGCTGATGCCACTGTTTCTGACCGTGCTGCTGCCTGCACGGATTTCGCGATTGCTTTCCTACCGGATTGCCCTCGCGATCTTCTCAAACGGGTCGCAGACAGCGAGGACGTGTAGTTGACGAGCGAATTCAAACGGCAGACCGGCTGAATGAGACCAGATTGAAGGTTAGGCGTCACGCCAGGCCGGCACACCTGCAGACGAGGAATCTGGCAGGAAACAAACCATGCATTTATTTTTTACTGAGAGAGTCGGAAAAGTGCACTTGTTGGTAGTAGTTCATCGCGAAACTAGTTGCCAGCGACTGGTTGGGTAAAACCAGTCGTTTCGGTTTGCAAACCATTGGCTTTGGCCAATGGTTTGCGCTTTGGATGCTTTGGGGGCGTATCGTTTGTGTGTTGCCCAGCGCGAGACCGAGAAGTCGCACCTGATTTCGAGGCATGGGTGGTGAGTTGTAGGTTTGGCACAGGTTTGGAAGTAGCTGTGAAGATTTTGGCCGGTCGCGAAGCTCCACGCCTGCACGGTCTGGCTGGTCGAAATTTTGCATCTGCCATCGATGGTTGATTCCATTATCTTGTATAAAGGTTCCCGAAGTGTAACTTATCGTGTTAGTTGATGTAGATTTATGTAAGTGCAAACATTAAATATGATATCTGAATATTTTGTTGTATTTTTTGCGTATTCAGGTCATGAAAAGCTTTAGCATTACAATATCATAGGATTATTAACATAAAAAACTGAAATAAGCTGGCGTATGAATTACGTTGGAATTCGGTAAATTTAGTGTTGTAGTGGAATTAGAATCACACTCCTGCTACACTTTGTAACGAAATCGTTCATAATTTACGCGAAATTGGTACAGTTTAGGGTACCTTCAGTCTATATACTCCATAACACATAATCGCAAGGGCATTGCCTTTTCGATGCTTGTTGGGAGTATTGTTGAATATGTCAGAGAAATTCAACCTGCGAGGAGCCCATCTACAGATACGGTAAATCCCGCGTGGGCCCTGGCAAGGACAGATCGTTCAACGGTCGGGTCTGTCCAGGTGCACACAGGGTGGATGAATTTGGAGGTTGCAGGTGGATCAATATTTGCCAGCGCGAAACATTTCAGGTGGGTGTAATACTTCGCTTCTACTGTTCGCACAACAGAAATTCTGGCGCGTCAGGTTTTTGCGCGCCAGATTTTCTTTTCGCTGGGTAACCAGTTGAAAGTGCGTGCTGCGTCAACCTGGCACAGCCCTGGTGTAGTTGGGTCAGGTGGTCCCAGCCGAGCTGGGGCTCGGGCTGTGTCAGCTATCGACCGAGCCACGTGTGATCGTGGCTCGGCCCCCAACTGCGCCCAAGGATCAGCCGCCCGACTTCGCAGCAGTCGGAGTGGCTGAGTGCCCAGCCCTTGGTTCGTCATTTTGCTGACGTGTCCCGCGTGAGGACAAAATAACCCTCACCCATAACGGGGCCCTGGTTACGGGGCCTCGAGCAAAACCACTTGTCTAGGTGTACGCGTGGTGGATTCTTATGACGCGTGGCAAAAAATCGCCGCGATTGTTTTTGAACCAATAGAAACAAGCCTGCTATCCTCGGTTGACCTGCACCGTTGGAAACCAATCGTATTTCCCTCCATCGCAAAGAACAAAAACGTGTATGCGTTATGAAATGAAAGGTGAAGTGCGGTTGTGCGTGGTCAAACGTGTCTAAACAACTGTTTTAAACTTTCTGGTTGGGTGTGTAACACACATGTAGTGACACCTCGTCCTTCAGAGGTCCCTTTCAACTATCTCCTCCCCTCCCCCCAATCCTTTCCGTTCGGGGGGGTAGTCTCTGAGGCAACGTCATTTCTCACTTGTTCCTTTCAGATCGTTAATTTTTTCACCTTCCTTAACTCAAGCTTCTCTAGAAGCTCCAGCGCCTAGCCTACGTCCCTGCCACCTTAAGCTCCTGTTGGATTCGAATAGGCGCATTGAGGCTATTGATACAGCACCTCATCGGAGTCCGTGAGTGTGACAAATGTAGGTGAATTATTTTTTGTGTAGGCAGCAACGATTTTCTTTTATGTTTTGCTGATTCCTCCCATTTTTTCATTCCAATGTTTGGCAATCTGCAGGCGTGTTTCCTTGTGGTCCGCTGATCTCCATTCACGCGTTTAGACTGAAGCTCTTGGTAAGCATTTTCAATTATGCTGCACAACAGTGTCTATTGATTTAGCGTATGGGTTCGTTTGATTCTTGTCTTACGTCCAATTGTGCTGTATTATTATTATTTTACTAGAAGTGGTTGGCGTTTTTAACCTGTGCTGGATTTTCATTTTTTTTCTGATCCTGTAGGAAATCACAAGGTTGCTGTTCTACCCTGCGGCCAAGACAGTTTCTGGTTGTAGAAGTTGTAGATATAGTAGTAGCATTGAGCAGCTTGGAGTGGGTGTTGTGTGTACTTCAATGTAATACAGCGCATTAGTGTGCTACAGTTGGATACCTGCAACCATCATTTCTGCAGCATGACTGATCAGTTGAGGCCTTTCAAGTGTGGCTATCCTGGGTGTATAGCGACGTTCTCTTTTGCACATCAGAAAGCACGTCACGTCAAGATGGGAAAGCACAAATTCCAACCAGCAGAGGCGGCAACTGAGGGATTGCGAGATGACAGCAGCCAGGGAGGAGCTGTAGGAAGTCTTCAAGCAGCTGCAAACCGCATTGTCTCGAAATCCAGCAAACGCCCACGAAGTCAAACACAACCAGGGCCGAGCCGTTTGGATGACCAACCGGACGCGGCTGAATTGAATGAGGATGCGACGGGCTACTTGTTTGCCCCTGAGTGCGATGCAACTTCGGTTGATATTGATGCTCGGGTGTACCGATTGGTTCGCACAGCAGCGGGTGGATCTGGGCTATCGCGTGTGGATATGAAGGAACTACTATCCATTCTTGTCGAAGTGGTGGCCCATCCCGGACGGCTAACCATTAAGTCTCTTGCAGAATTCGACAAGTACGAGGAGGAGCAATTGGCAGGGGCGAACATTGAACCGTTCGAGCAGGTGGAGTTAACGAAGGAGGGGGATCTGAAGCCTGTGATTCTCTGGCGGCGTTCGGCTCTCTTGTGCGTAAAAGGTTTATACGAGAACGTGGCGAATGCACACGGCTTCGTGGTGAAACCTCGGAAGAAATCTACCCAAGACAAACAAATGTACAAGGGTCATGAGACGGGAAGCTGGTGGCGGGAGATTTTGCGTCGACTGCCTGCTGGTGGTGATCCACCCAGAGCGGTAGCTGCAGTAATCATCTATTCGGATGAAACAACCCTGACGACCGATGGCAGACTGAAAGGTTGGCCAGTGTACATTTCCCCGGCCAACATCGCTCCTGGGAATCGATGGAAACCCCACGGGCACCGGCTCTGTGCTCTCTTGCCCGAAGATGATGGCTCTCTCTTCACGAATGTGGCTAAGAAGCAACGGCGGCTTGAGGTGTTCCAGGAAGCGCTTGCTCTCATCATGGAAGACCTGAAGAAGGCACAGCACTCGTAAGTGGTTTGGACGCTATCACAATGTGTTGTAATCGTCTATGGTGCGTCTTGGAGTGTTGTCTCGCCATACACCATTTGACAGTGCTGTTATGTATCTGTTGCATGCAGGGGCATGGAGCTGACGGATCCGTATGGCATTCTCCGTACGGTATACCCGATGACGTACTCCTACATCGGCGACTACCCAGAGCAGTGCAAGGTTGCGGGGACCAAGTCTGGCATCAAGACTCGCCTTCCATGCCCCAGGTGCACCGTCCCGAGAGAGGAGCTGAGTAATATGGAGTACCCTCTGAATTTTCGGACGGAGGAAGGACAGATGCAGCATGTGGAGGATATGGAACGCGCAACGACACAGGGGAAACGAAAGGATTTTTCCAAGCTTCACAGCACACACTGCGTCAAGGTATGTCTTGTCCTACGCGTACATGCAACTTGAAGGGAATTGCAACGTCTGGTATCGTTCGACTAAGCTAACGCGTATCGCGTTTGTTTGGTTGTTTGTGCATGTGCACGCGCGTGCATGTGTGTGTGTGTGCATGCGTGTGTCTGCATGTGTAGTGAGTGTGTGCATGTGTATGTGTGCATATGTGTATGTGTATGCATGTGTGTGAGTGTGTGCATGTGTGTGTGTGTGTGCATATGTGAGTGTGCACGGGTGAGTGTGTGCATGTGAGTGTGTGCATATGTGAGTGTGTGCATGTGTGTGTGCATGTGTGTATGTGTATGCATGTGTGTACATATGTGTGTGTGCATGCGTGTGTCTGCATGTGTGAGTGTGTGCATGTGTGTGTGTGCATATGTGTATGTGTATGCATGTGTGTGAGTGTGTGCATGTGTGAGTGTGTGCATGTGTGAGTGTGTGCATGTGTGAGTGTGCACGGTTGAGTGTGTGCATGTGAGTGTATGCATGTGTGTGTGTGCATGTGTCTATGTGTATGCATGTGTGTACATATGTGTGTGTGCATGTGTGTGTCTGCATGTGTGAGTGTGTGCATGTGTGTGTGTGCATATGTGTATGTGTATGCATGTGTGTACATATGTGTGTGTGCATGCGTGTGTCTGCATGTGTGAGTGTGTGCATGTGTGTGTGTGCGTATGTGTATGTGTATGCTTG